AGATCCGTACGCTCTCCCCCCGAAAGGCTCAGAACTCGACATAGGGGCCAATGAGCTCGCGACGGGACTGAGTCTTTGAGTAGACAGATATCTCCGACTTTTATCGAACGCGGTGTGACTGGATCACGAAAATGCGCTGAACGCAGATATTGCAAGTATTCCTCTTTGAAACGCTTCTAAAAATTCTTCAACACCGCTTGCTGGTATTTCCAACGACGAGAAAAGACGATCGAATCGGCCGCGTCGCTATTCTTGGGTCTGAGACGCATCTACGGCAGACTCACTTTTACGCGAAGACCATAAACCAAATCTGCTGGGCAGAGCGCACTGATTTCGTTTGGGCCCATCCGGACCGGTGTTAGTGGTCTCTGATTTACTAATGCTTCGATCTCGAACAGCACTGATTCTAGCTCTCTGAAGGAGAGCGTGTTCCGACCCAAAATTTTCCGCAGGGGTCTTTTCACCGTCTGAACCATCCGCTCCCACCAAGCACCGTGCCACGGCGCTCTTGCGGTTATGAATTCCCAGGATACTTCCGCCTTAGCCAAATGCTGCTGGACAGCCTGAGACTTCACGTGATCGTAGATGATCCTGAGCTCTGTAGCCGCTCGCACGAAACTTGAGCCGTTATCCGAAATTATCTTCGTCGTGCATCCGAAACGACTCAGGAATTTTTTCAGCGACAGGAGAAACTCGTAGGTGCTCATGTTCGGAACCAACTCCAAGTGCAGAGCTCTCGTGCTCGAGCACACATATAGCAGAGTATAGCTCTTGGCCGTTTCTCCCTGCTCATTGTTATAAGGAATCGGCCCGGCGTAATCGACTCCCGTGACCGTGAAAGCCGGCGCTGTGTCGATTCTAAACTCTGGAAGCGGTGGTACCGGTTCCAACGATGCCTCGACTCTGAACCGCATGCAGACTTTGCAATCTCTGAGAACGCTTCTCACCGCTCTGCGCGCTGATAGGATGAAATATTTTTTCCGTAATAGGCTCATTGTAGCCGCAATACCCCCAACGTGAAGAGACTTCTTTTCATGATAAAACTTTATCAGTAGTCTCACTGCATTGCTCTCGCCTGGGAGCAGTACTGGATACTTTTCTCCGAGTGATAATTCCTCCGCTCGCTCCAATCTCGAGCGACATCTCAGAAAACCAGACTCATCCACGAACGGCGCTAGCCTGAGAATTCTGCTTTCTTCCGGAATTGACCTGCATTGGTCTTCGATCTCCGAAATAATCCTTTTGGATACACTTCAATATTTTCTCGGTAGCGGTCGCCGCTTCTTCCGGTGAAATCGGAGAAGACAGTGTCGAACGCTCGACTTGCCCTCTGCCCAGCGCCGACCATCTGAGCATTCTGGCAGTACTGGATACAAGAACTGACCAAGATGACAATCGCCGACCGTCGAGAACGCGATCGCGCTCCGAAACCGATACCAACGTCGTCAGGCACCTTGACTTTTTTTCTCTGCCCTGACTTTGTCTTCGCTCTCGAAAAAATCGTTCAATTCGTGAGCCACTGTCGGCCGACCCGACTTGAGGAGCCACGGTGGTCCTTCAAGCCACATGCTTCTGGACTTCTCATCCGCCATGGACGTGCCTCTGCTAAGCATATCTGCTGGGTTCTCCGCCGACACGACATAATCCCACTCTGAGGGACCTGACAGAGACTGGATCTCTCTGATCCGGTTGGCAACGAACGCCTTCCAGCGACTAGGGCTATCCTTGATCCGATGAAGGGTCGGAGAATTGTCCGACCAATAATGTACTGAATCGAAATGGCAATTGAGATACGATTTGACTCTGTCGACCAACCGCGCCGAAAGCACTGCGCCAATCAGCTCGAGGCGATGAATGGAAAACTCCGATTTCAGAGGAGCCACTCTAGCCCTGGAAGCCACGAAATGAACCACAGCGCCACCCGAGCTCAAGAGCTCTCGAATGTAAACCACCGTTGCGAAAGCCTCCATGGAAGAATCGCAGAACGCGTGCAGCTCACGTTTCGCGATCTCCCGCGCCGTCACTATGTTTCTGTTTGCGAACACCGCACGCGCTTCGTCTAGCGAGCCAGCGAAATTCTCGAATGCCTCCAAACTTTCTCCGCTCAGTCTATCGTCCCAGTCGATTTTCTGTTTCCAAACAGACTGTAGGAGGATTTTCGCTCTGATAGTGATAGGTGAGATGAAACCCAGCGGGTCGAAGATCTGTGCTACGCCCTTGAGCAGTGTGCGCTTCGACGGCAAATTTGACAGTAATGTTCTCTGTGCCGCCTGGATAATTATGAGCAAACAGTCCGCGGACTGGATCCATGCGATTCCGAGAAACTTGAAATCAGGTTGGTCGCTAAGTATCTGAATATCCGGGTCCTTCTCTAGACTGCGCATCCTGGATGCTAGGGCCGGATCGTTTGTCGCCCACCGCCTGAGCTTAAATCCCCCTGCGCTGAAAGCGTCGAGCATGAATTTGAAAATCTCCAAACCTTCGTCGACTGAGTTCGCGGAGGCCACCTGATCATCCATATAGAAATTTTCGTCGATATCTTGCAATAGACTGGATCTCTCGGGGTGCTCTTTGATGAGCTGCGTGATGTGAAGCTTAATACCCGCGCAATGGATGAACGGACTCGAGATGATGCCGAAATCGAGCACCGTGCTCCAAAATTCCTTGATCGGTGCGTTCCGATCCCGGCTAATACCCAAGGGCCAGAAGAAACGCAAGAAGGTTCGATGATCCGGGTGAATCTTATACTGCAAAAACGCTTTCTCGATATCTGAAACGAACGTTCTTTGCCCCCGCTGCTTCCGCATAACCCTTCTCAACATATTTGGCCATCTCCAAATCCAGCGATTTCAACACATCCCTGTTGTTTCGTGTTCTTGCCAAAAGTCTGTTCAGGCTACCGCGCGCTATATTCTCGTTATCGCCGAGCGTCCGAATATTGCTTTTGAATGGCAGACTGACCATGTAATGGCCGTTGTCCAATCGCCTAATGTCGTTTTCGAAAAAATCTTTGAGCTCTGAGCTCCCTTCACTGGACTTGTCTAGAGCCCGTGACTCGGTAGACCAGAGTCTCTGTAAGTCCTGGCTCAATGCCCGGTCGGCTTCGCTCACGTTCACGCTAAATGCTTCCGCACCGCTGGACGGCTTGGGTGACGATTGAGAAGTAGCCGCACCATCGTCGAACGAGGGACCTTTGCCTGATAGCACCCATCCGAGTATGGTACTGGTGGCTACTATTCGATTGTCGAATATACGCTCCTCTCCGCATAGCACGCTTGCTAAGAAGTCCTGACCGATCAAAATATCAACCGCGAGTCCCGACCGACTGTTGCTGTCGTCTGCTATTGGAGTCAGACCGATGGATTCCCTGAAAACCGGGAATCCCCCTTTCGCGATTTCTGGGATTCCGACCACTGATAAGAGGACTGAATCCCGGTCATTGTGGACGCAATTTGTGCACCTTGTACCTCTTGTACTCTGAAACTGATCCGCCGATTTTGAGCATCGCTAGTTTCTCGCTGTCCGCCGGCTTCAGGTCCAGAGAATCGACTGCGCGCTGGGAGATATACGAACGTTCCGCGCCAGTATCCAAAAAGAAACGACATACGCGCCTCCGATCCATCCCGTTGGCCCACGCTAGGCCGGTTTGGAAATATTTCACCGAGAGCTCCGCAGCGCCGGACGCTAGTTGCGCTGAGAAGGACTTGAATTCCCTCTGGGGTGCCGCTCGCGCGTCGCATATAATCGGATAATGGCCTCTGTTGCTTCTGTCGCACCTCACTTTCCGAACCCTGCACTTCTTAGCATGATGATTCCTGATTTTGTTGCCTAGCCGCATTACTAGCGCTGAGATCCCTGTTCGAATAAGAGCTCTGGAAGCTCTGCTGCCTATATGAGTCTAGAGGCCGTGAGGCTCTCTTGATGGAAACCTCCCTATCAAGGAACTCCAATAGAAGCTCCAGATCGCTGTCCGAGTCCGACTTAGCCGAAGATTCGAAATGAAGTCGATTGAAGCTCTCTCGCATTTGCACAGGGAGTGCACTCAGAATGTTCGGCGTTAACATGAGAGAAAGAGAATCGTAATTTTTTCCCAAGGAGATGAGGGCCTCGACGTTCTGGGACAACGCGCTGACGAAATTAATGAACTTATCATGTATGTGGAGATCCCTGGTGAGTACGAGTCTCTGAAGCTGCTGGACATGCTCCTTTTCGGCATCTTTGGCTGAACCAAACTTCGCCGCTATCGCGTCCATCGCGACTTGGTACTGGTCTGCCGTAAACTCGAGATGCGCAATTTCCGCTGCTGCCCTGCCTTCAAGCGACTGCTTGAGTAATGAGTACTTCTCGACTGGATCGATGGTCTTCTTGTGAACATGAGCATCGAACATTTGCCACCACTCGCGGAACTTCTTGTAATCACCGGAGAACTTCGGAACTTTGAAGTATTTGTTGAAGGTCAAGATTCGTAGCTCTGGTCAGGAGTAGAAGAGCAGCCCGTTCAGGAATACACAGAGATGCGATCTCACGAGAGGGAGATACCACAGTAAATTTTATTCGAAATCTTAGGTCTTTTATACCTAGGCAGGAGTCTAAGCTCCTCCTTTCATGTCCTGATCCGTACATACATATACATAGGATAAGGCTACCTTGGTCTATCATAAGTAGCGTCCTAGAATACTATTGGGTGTACCCAGCATAAGGGGTGCTAGCCCAATTTCGTACTACCTCAAGGGTATCATGCTAGAGTCGTAACTTCGGGGTGCAACCCCGGTGACTCACGTATTTTACTACTGTCACGGGTATATGGCCCCGTGGGTTGGTATGAGTCATAGTCCTAGTACGGAACGAGGACTAGTAGTTTCCAGTTTCTACCTAAACCTCAACACCTCGGTCTTTGCGAGGATTTTCCTCACTAGATTTTCGGTCTCGGTCCTTGCCTCGTCCGGCTTACCGGTGACCCCGAAGAGCAGGAGGTTGCGAGCCCTAATTTGCTGCTCGTTCAAGTTGGATTGTAGGCGGTTCGCTCGAAGTCCCTCCTTTAGAAGTGAATTTTCCTGTTCGAGTCCAGCAACTCGTCCTTGCAGGTCCACCCGACTGAGCTTGATTAAGGCAGTTTCGTTCAATTTATCGATAACTTCACGCTTGTCGGCGGCCATGTCTGCGCGGATCGAACGCAGCTCAGATAAGA